TAAAGATTAAGCTAACCTTGCCTTCCTGTGATAGGAATTGGCCACAACGTATGATCCATTTCACATACTACCGAGCTTTTCTCACTAGTATTTAGTTAAGGATTTTTTTTTTTACATTTAAATTCTTGAGGGATATAGTCCTCATGAATACTTTTCTTGTAAACTCTATTTGATCTTGATATTTGGAACTGATAAAAATAAGGGGGCAGTTTTCTCCGTTCTATTTTCTGAAGATGTGCATATAAAATTGGTGTTCTTTGTGGCATGTGCTTGATGGGATTCAGGTGGGAAATCATCTGAGCGTGGGGTTCCTCTTAGGAACCTCTTTGGTTGAGTGAGGCTCTTTGGGTCTTCTGCTCCTCCTCAGCCCATGTGGGAGTGCGAGTCCTCTGAGCCTGAGCGGCTAACTAAGCCTGTTGCCTGGAGCTTCGTGCGTGTCCTCTCCTGGCCTCTGTTGAGGCCTCTGCACTGGCACTCACTGTTGCCTCCGTGTCACTGGCCTGCTCCTTCTTCTTTCTTGAACAGCCTAACAGGATCGTTACCCTAATAATATTTTCAATAAGTAGGTTTTAGCCTTGTCTTTGTCCATTTTTAGCCCCTGCCTTGCCCAGTCCCGCTCCTTCCTGGTTTGCTCCTCCTGTCCAGTGCCTGCCCACAGGCCTGCAGTCCTTTGTCCTCAGTGCCTCCAGCATCCCAACACTTACCTGTGACACAGCAGGCTGGCCGTTTTGGAGAGGTGTCTTGGTTTGTTTCTTTTACTAGACCTGAGCACCTTGAGGGCAGCAGGCGGTGGGGCGGCTGAGCACCGGCTCCCTGCGACGCAGGGGCACGGCTGTGGTTCAGGTAGTGCTGTGTTCAAGCCCTAGACGTGCCACCTCTGGGAGGGTGGGCTGGGCTGCTCACCTGGCGGCACAGAGCCCCTGCTAGGGCTTGTCAGGATATTGTAGTCAGAGTGGGCAAGTCACCTCACGCAGCCTGGTACTGGGAGGTGCTGGATGACCTTTCACTTCAGCACGAAAAACCAGTGGAGGATGCCCAGGAAATGCAGTGCCATTTCCGTCTGTGTTCTCGCTGATTTCTGTGGCAGTCCTCTCTGGAGGTGAGGGCTGAGGTTCTCAGGGGGGTTCACAGCAGAGCAGGGCTTTGCTTCCTGCTGCTCTGAAGAGCCTGGACACCCTGTCTTGCCACTGCAGCCCACTCTGCCTTCTTACTGACGTCCTCCACCTTTACCCGGCTGAGGAGACCTCTGCTCCTTTCCTCTGAACCGCGAGGAAGGCAGTGACAATGCCTCTAAGACTTGTCTTTCTGTGGCTTTCATGAAGCTGACGCCCTGGAGCTGCTCTTCCGTGTTTCTCTCTGGGAGGGGGCAGCAAGTCCCTGGCAGCAGGAACACAGACTGTCCCTTCTTCCCTAGGTGGTACTTGGCAACTGCTTGTCTCTGTCTTACCCCCCCCTCAGGTGACTTCTCCCACAGTGCTCTCTGAGATGACCTAAGTCACCCCCTAAAGCAAAAAAGCCAGCGTGGCCCATCTCCTGGCAGATTCCCGTTCCATAGCCATTCATCCCCTTGGCCGCTGGCCTGCACTGGGGCTGGTATTAACTGGTTTATTCCAGTGTTACACCCTTGGCCCTCCTGAGCTCTCTGAGATCGGGGCCACCTCTTGTCCATTGAGCCTGGTGCGGAGGAGACACCTAGAAGTGTTTGGAAAGGAAGAGGAAAGAACAGACCAGCCAGGGGAGCCAGCTGCCCTGAGTCTTCACAGGAAGGCATCTGGGGGGGTATGTGCAGTCTGCACCTTCTGCCGATGGCAAGTGTGATTTCAAAAGGTCCAGGAACTGTCCACATGAAACCAGCAGCCCTCTGCAGTTGGGACCATGCTTTGGGCACAGGGCCATGGCAACATGATTTGGGGTTTTAGTGAGGCCGAAATATGATGCTTGATTATTGAAACCAAACCTGTTTCCCTGAGCACACGGTGAGTAGGGAGAAGGGCTGGGCCTTCCAGGAGGAGTACGTCTGTGTGGTAAGAGGGTCAGGAAGACAGCTCTGGACACGCAGGTGTGAAGGACTCCTGTGAACACAGTTATGGAGATGCCTTGAGGGGCAGGAGGTGAGTTGGAATGATGAGCTTTGAAGATAGGACCAAAGGATCTGAACAGATATTTCTTCATTGAGACACAAAAGGCCAGAGAGAACTGAAGAGGTGCTCAGTGTCTCCAGCCCTCAGGGAAAAGGCCCTCGAGCCACAGCGAGGCAGCCCTCACTGCCCCAGGGGGACTTGGGCCAGAGGCAGAGCCATCATTGGCGAGGGCGAGGACAGCTGGTGGAGTGAGGGATGGCATAGCTGCCACGGGCAGCCATGTGGCAGTTCTCAGAATCCAGTGTGGAATGGCCACGTGTTCCCAGAATGCCACTTCTGCCTGCCCAGGAGAGCCGGCAGCAGCCTTGGCATCTGCACACCCTATTCACAGCCGCGTCACTCACGCTAGCCAGGAGGCGGAGGCAGCTCGAGTGCCTGCTGGCCGATGAGTGGGTGATACGGGGGGCTCATCCATTCCACAGAATGTTACTCTACCTTCACATGGGAAATTGGCACAGACTGTAAGGTGCGTGACCCTCGAGGACACTTTGCTAAGTGAAGCAAGCCAGTCACAGGAGGGCAAACTCTATGGTTCCACTGCGTGAGGTGGCACATCAGTCAAACCCAGGAGGAGAGTGGCCAGGGGCCAGGGGGGACAGAGTGCATGAGGATTAGGCTGGAGTTGGGAAGGTGAAGATGTGCTGGAGGGCGGTGGCGGTCACTGTTTGTCAGCAGTGTATGCGAACCTAAAATGGTGACTTTTGTTAGGTTGATTTTCCCACAATAAAATGTAAAAGAATTGAAGAGAGAGGACTAAAACTCATTTCTCCCTATTTTGAGCCATGTTGCCGTCGGGCCCCAGGTGGGTCAGGTAGCGAGCAACGAAGGAGTGTCCTCAGTGGTGACTCCTGTTTTTTCATTGATCCTCAATGAAGCCTGGGGAGGTGGGCATTAATGTCGGCTCCCCATTCAGCAGTTGAGAAGCTGAGGCTGAGAGAGGCGAGACGAGGAGCCCCAGATCTCGTAGTGCTGTGTGGCCAGCTTCCCAGGAGTCCCTCCTGCCCCGGGCCCCTGTAGCAGCCTGGTGGAGTCGGTCCTTGGCGTGCCACCCTACCCACCACGCACACACGGGCTACTTCCTTTACTTTAAAGCACCCTGCTGCTGTGGCGTGTCCTCTTGGCAGAGCAGTAGATCACCAGGAGCGTGACTGAGGGCTGAATGCACCTTGCCAGGGTCACAGCGTGACCCCGCAGCCCAGGGAAGAAGGCAGGTGGTGCCAGCCTCCCTCCAGACCCTTGGAAACAGGACTCCAAACTGCCTTGGCAGGCCAGGGGAGAAGATCCTCATGCCGCAGCACATGCTTGGAGGCCCCATCCAGACCTGCTACCCTGGACTGCAGCTCAGGCTGTGTGTGGTGCCTCACTTGTGGCCTCACTCCACTTCTGGAACTTTCCACCAGGGTTATTAGTGGCCCAGGAATTACCTTTATTTTGTTTTGTTTTCCCAGCTTTAAAAGATATAAAACTGTTCTTAGCTTCCAGACGTCCAGAAACAGCCCGGGCTGGACTTGGCCCCAGGCTGCAGTCTGCTGGGCCTCTTTGGGTGGTGATGGAAAGCTGCACCCTTTCAGTCAGGAGTTGGCTGGGTTGTAGTTCTTGTTGCTATGGTTACTCTGTGCCTCGCAGGCTGTAGATTTCTCTCATGTTGCCTTGTGCTGGCTTGGGGAAGGGTGAAGAAAGTCCAGGTGCAGGACACCTGCTCTTCCCATGATGAATCCCCAACCCTGCTTGCCCTTCTCTTTGCACACAGCACCATGATAGACCCGCCCCACCTCTCTCCTCCCAAGGGGTTTCTAGGCTGCAGGCAGGGACAGGCGGGGTTCCCTGCTCCCTGGCCGGTCCCCAGTCTCAGTGGTGGGCTTTCTCAGGGTCCCTGCCCTTTGCACCACAGCTGACTGTCCCTGCCCACATTGTGGTGGGTTCTGTGACTGCACAGTGTCCTGCCCTGTCCCAGAGGCTTGCTGTCTCCAGTGGTGTTGCTGTGGCATCCTGGATCTGGCCCTTTTCTTCCTTACCCCAGAGAATGGTGTGTGCTGATCTGGTTTGTGCCCTTGGCCAGTGTTGCCCTTCCTTCAACACCTCAAGATTTTCCTCCATAGGAAGGAAGGACCCCGTGGGGACCTGGCGGGAGTTTCAGTGTCTTGTTTTCCCATTGGTGGTGACTGACCACCAAGGGAGGCAGCTTCTGCTTTCCTGTCTGCCCACCCACCCTGGTCTGAGCGCCCAGGGAAGACTCATGGAGAACAGCCTGGGAGGAGTGGGAACGGCCTACCTGCCCAGGTTCCTGGGGAGCGGTCCTCACTATCATGTGGGGCCCCACCCCACCTCTGATACTCCATGACCTCCCAGCGGATCCCTTCCCACCCGCGTGGGTAGCACTGGCACCTCTGCGATTTGCTCTGCTGCCAATAGGAAGATGCCACACCGTGTTGCTCCCAAGGGGCATGGCGCTGACTTCATCTCTGTGGGCTCAGGACGTGGGGTGAGGGGGTCTGTTGGCTGCCTCTCACTCACTGGGAGCCAGGCTGGTACACTGCCTCTGCGGTGGATGGATGCTCGCCTGTCCCCGCCCTGGCTGATCTGTGTCTTTAGGTGAAGCTCACTGCACTGTGCTCTCCTCTCTTAAGTGCTACATCCGGCCACAGAATAAGTTCTGGAATCCCCTCTGTGGCATATCCAGGCTGAAGATTGTGTGGACAGTGGGTGACACAGGAAAGATGGTGCCACGTGCCTGGCCTCAGCTGGGGTGAGAGCCTGCTGGGTGCAGGGGTGCGCTCTAGAATCTTTGTGGGTGAAGCTCCTGTCAAGGAGTCCGGCCAGCTTGGGAGCACTAACTTGTCACTGGTTATGTCTTTTCAGACTCTGGAAGCCATCCTGAATTTCAAGTACTCGGGAGGCCCAGGCCATGCAGAAGGGTATTACCGGAGCCTCTCCCTGGGGCTGCATGTGGAAGTCGAGCCGTCTGTGTTTTTCACCAGAGTCAGCACACTCCCAGCAACCAGGTAACTGTTGTCCCTGTGAGTCTGACAGCACTGCATTTGGAATACCAGCCTCTGGTTCACTGTAGTCTGGCTGCCCTTCTGACGGGCATTGTTGGGCCAGGGTGCTTAATTAGCCTCTCTGGGTCAGGTTCTCTCCATTCTGAAGGTGCTGGGAGGTGGGTGGGCTTGCTGGGCTTCTGTTGGCCCTCCTTTGTATGGACCTAATTGTTTAGGTGCCTTTCTCTGACCTGGGTCACCTCTGCTGTTAACAGGGGCTTGAGAGAGAGCTACATGTCTTGGGGGCCCCTGGATGAGCCCAGAATTTCTGTCTATGCTACTTCTGGTGCCCACTGAGCGTAATGCTTTTTTTTTTTTTTTTTTTTTTTTAATGGTCCCACTGTCCAGCATTGTAAGCAGCTCCCAGCATGTACAGGGAGTGTCAGGTCATTCCTGCCCAGGGAGGCCTTCTTGCTCAGTGACTCTCTCTGGGACTGCCTTTTCCTGTCCTGATCTCCCTTCAGGGGAAAGGAGTTGGTTGGTTTGTCTGCTTCAAGGCTAGAAGTGGCAAGAGGTGCTAGGGATATTCTTCTCTCGGGTGGGAGAGTGATGAGTTCTCATTCCAAACTTTGACTTGTGGTACAGTGGAAGCAGTGGGCTCAGGAAGCCTGGGAGGAGCCCCTGCAACTGCAGAGCCGTGGAACTCGGGCCTGTGCAGGCTCCAGGGAGCAGGTGCCTGTCACTGCTGAACTCGACCAGGTTCTCTGGCTCAGCTGTGCCGTGCTCGTTTCTGGGGAGGGTGGGCTGGGACAGGAGTATTTGTTCTTAATGGCTGAGGAGCAGTGGTGACAGCCATTGCCTGTCTGCCCTGGAACCCACTGCAGGCCGTTGGTGAAGAGTATCCCCCAGGCAGTGCTCTCATCTGTCTGCCTTGTTCTTCTGTGTAAAATAGAGGTATGTTCTGTCCATGTTGATGTTGACATTAAAGCCCATTTAAGTTGATAAAGCCCCAAATAATAAGTGTGATTTTGGTGTAGGGGAAAGACTTTTTCTTCTCAGCCATTGGAGAAAACCATCAGCAAAAATTAATGGTGTAGCTGGGCCTTTTGGTGTCACCTTTCATCCCCTGTCATGTGTGCAGTGTGTACAGTGGCTGGCTTTGCTGCCAAGGCTTGCTTCTGCTCTGAATTTGTACAGAGCCTAGAGTGCTCGGCCCTGGGAGGCTTGGCCAGGACCCTACCGGGGCTGTTAGGATGTGCCAGTCTCCCTGTGTATCAGAGCTGCTTTCGCATAACCCTGCTGCGCCTTTATGTCCTGGTCCCTCACCTCCTGCTGTCGTCACCCATATAAATAATCCTCCAAATGGCACAGGTTATTCCTGGGCTCTTTTTTCCCCTGTTGATACCTGGCTTCCACGTCATGGCCCCTGTGGTTCCAAATGGCAATTTAAGTCGAGGAGAAACTCTGCTACGTGGTGGTCTTTGGACAGATCTGGACAGGTTGGTCCTTGGCTGACATGGGGTTGGATCCTGATCTCTGGCCCACAGCCCTCCCTCCGTTGTTCTGGCCCATGTGTTTCTGTCCCCTGCACTTGGGATTGAGGTTTGACTTCTAATCCTCCTCTGTTATCCCTACATCTAGTTTATCACCAAGTGCCCTCTCCAGCATCTCTGGATGACCCTGTGTGTCCCTCCTGGATGTCCTGCTGTATCTTTGCTGCTGTGGGAAGAGGCCCAGTCCATCCCCTGCCTGCAGTCTTTTTTTGTGCAGAGTCCCTTAAGTACGAATGTCCCCCATGGCTGCCCTTGCACAGGTTCCCAGTGCTCGTGAGGCACAGGACCAGAGCCCCCCTGAGATGTGTGCAACGCCCACAACTCGGGCCTCGCCCTGGCCGCCACACGCCCTGCAGAGCGGCTTTGCTCCTCACCACCCCTGCTCAGCACTTGACTTCCGGGAGCTTGTGCCACATTCTTTTTCTAAAATCTCTCTTTTTCTTAAATTGTCATTCTTTGATTTAACCTTTTGGGAAATATCTGCTTGTCCTAGAGATGTATGTTATCATTCCTGTAGGGTTTTCCTGAGCATAATCAAGCAGAGGGGGCTGTTCTCTCCGTGGGTTCTGTGTACCTTCCTGGTACTTCTGGGAAAGCATTTGCCAAATGTCCTGGGAATACATTCACTTACGCTTTAAGCCACTACCTCTGAAGTGACAGGCACTGTATGAGCCACTTGCTGGGGTAGGAGGTGGGGGGAGCGCAGTGCACATCAGGCAGAATTAGCACTAAAAGGAAATGTGAATGTACACAAAGGAGGGAAGAGCTCAAGAAACAGTGAATAAGCGAATACAAAACAAAAGGGTTTGTTCCTCTCATTCTTAATTTCTTTAAAAGAATGGGTGGGTGCTAGAAGTGCTAATGTTACACGCAAGGTGCCAGGCTGCTGTATGAGGTCAGAGTGCAGAGGTACCAGGCATGTGGCACTCTCCAGAGCAGCCATCTAGATGTGGGCAAGAGGGTACAAGAGATAAAATGGAATATTAGCAATATCTAATTCAACCAAAGAGGAAGAGGTATCAAGAGTGGAACAAGGAACATTTAGTCAAGTAGGAAACCAATAGCAATGTGATAGGCCTGCACCTGCATCTCAAGAACTGCAGGAAGAGTATTCGGAATTAGAGAAAGTAAAATGCCTTTTTACAAGAAAACGACGTTAAATGTGTGTAGTGTAAAAGTTAAAAGGTAGGGGAAAACATCATGCATCTGGTTTGGCATGGTGGTGAATGCCTATGTTCCCAGCAACGTAGGAGGCTGAGGCAGAAGGATTGCAAGTTCAAGGCTAACCTCAGCAACTTAACAATAACCTGTCTGAAAAGAAAAAATAAAAAAGAATGGGAATGTAGCTCAATGGTAAAGCAACTATGGCCTAAATCCCCAGTACCAAAAAAGAAAAATAAAAAACCCCAAACTAAACAATAATATTAGAAAGTTGGTGTGAGTATATTAACATTATACAGATACTCTTTCAGCATAAAAAGAGGCAGATAAGACAATCTGTAATGAAAGTAGCCCAAAATGCAAGTGTATTTAAAAACAGAATTTCAAAATAAAACAGACATACTGAGGGGATAAATGCATAGCTGCACATCATAGTTGGATATTTTGGGATTTTTTTCCCCTCTTAATATTTGATTGAACAAGTAGACAAATACAAAGAAACAATTAAAAGAACAAAACCCCAGAAAACTATAGCAAACTTAGATAATCCTGTTAACCAATTCCACCTAATAGTCATAGAATAGTAAACTATTTTATTAGAAAAGGTGAATGGCTTAAAATCAGTGATATAGCTTCTGTATTAAAGAAGAGCTCAATGTACTCAGAGCAAACAGCAGAAATAAAGTGTAGGTATCAATGAAATTATGAAAAAAGAATGTATAAAGTCAGTATTATGGTTTAGATATGAAGTGTCTCCCAAAAGCTCAGGAGTGAGACAGTGCAAGAGAGCTTAGAGGTGAAATGACGGGGCTATGAGATTTCTGACCTAATCAGTGCGTTAACCCTTTGCTAAGGATCATCTGGGGGTTAAGGATAGACAGGTGGATGTGACTAGAGGAGATGGGTCATTGGGAGCGTGCCAGTGAGGTTTATATTTTGTCTGTGGGGAGGGAAGCTCTCTCTTTGCTTCCTGGTGCCATGTTTCCAGTTTCTTTCTGGAAATGTCACACACTTCTGTCATGATGCTCTGCCTCACTGTGATCCCCAAGGAATGGAGCAGGCCGTCTATGGACTAAAAACTCTTAAAAACCATGATCCTCAAATAAAATGTTCTGCCTCAAAAGTGTTCTCTTCAGGTCTTTTGGTTATAGTAGCAAAAAAGCTGACTAAAACAGAAATTAGTTCAGGGAGTGGGGTCATTGCTGTGTCTACTGTGTCTAACCTGATCATGCTGTTATGAAATTTTTGGAACTTTTTAGAATTTGTGGGAGGAATTTTGACACATTTAGAGATACGAACTGGAAAAGCTTTATATTGTTGTAAGCAGAGCTTAATGGGTGATTTTGGTAGAATGTCAAAAGACCAGAAGATCAGTTAGGACTGAACTATAAAGTCCAGGCTGCATTTCAAGTTCCATGGCTCAGGATTCAAGCACTGGAAAACTGGTTCTCAATGAGGTTGGTGAAAGTGAGCATTCACTGAAATTCAACAGTGACAGAGTCTCTTAGAGACTAGGAAATCCAGGTGCATTGAATAGAGAACAAGAAGCAGCACATTGGGGCCCAGCTGGTTGTGGCAGCAGCAATAGTGCAGAGGGGAGGGATGACACAACAGAGAGAAAAACCACAAAGAGCAAATTTGGCATAGAAAAACCTGTAAAAGCAGTTTAACTCAGCTGATCTAACTGTACAGCCAATGGCTGTGTGAAAGTGCTCTGTGTTTCTCAACTGACAAGCAGGCAGCTGAGGCAAGATGCATCTTAAGGAAGCCACAGTTGCCTGCTGCTGCCAGAGGCCAGGAGGTCATAGCAAACATTTCCATACTGTTGTGGCAAGCACCTACCATGTGGCTTAGGATGTGCCTAGCAGAAGGTGAGTGAGACAGACCACAGGAGACTGTACCCAGGGTGATTCAGGTCAGAGAAATGGAGTGGAGTGAAACTTGCTTTCCCTTGAGTCTGGTGGCTCACGTGACCAGCAGAAGAGGGTCGGGAAACTGAACAGGCAAGGGCAAATACACTCATGGACTAAGCCTGGGAAGGCTGGGTTGTGGGCAGTAGAGTGTGCGGAGGATTATTTTTCCTGCTCCACAAGTAGAATTCTTGGGAGGCTCCTGATACCTGGACTCCTAGCAGAGATTGGCATCTGCTTGGCTCCAGGGTTGTGTAGATCTAATTTCTCCAGAACACATATCACCCAACAAAGTCCCTAATGCCTGATTAGACTTAAGTCCAGGGTCAGAAATCCTCTTACAGAACTCTTAGCCTCACCTTGGGCGTGTTTCCATCCAGTCTACTGGGACAAACCTGTA